AATAGCAAGAAATTGTCAATTGTACAGTATTGCACAATAGCAAGAAATAATCAATTGCACAGTATTGTGCAAAAGAAGATACTTCGTATAAATTGCTTATTTCTTGATCAATTTCAATGGGGATTTATTCTTGAATTCTTGGGGTTCTTTAATATGCTGAATCTAACCGTGTATTAAGTTTTTGGATTTTGGGCCCCGTTTTTAAATTGGTCCACATTGAGGTCCAAAGGGTCCAAAATTTAACTTTGTTTGATTTCATCAAAAATTGAATGATTGGGGTTCTTTGATATGCCGAATCTAACCGTGTATTTAGATTCTTAATTTTTGGTTCTGTTTTCAAATTGGTCTACATAAAGGTCCAAAGGGTCCAAAATTAAACTTAGTTTGATTTCAACAAAAATTGAATATATGGGGTTCTTTGATATGCTGAATCTAACCATGTATTTAGATTTTTGATTATGGGCCCAGTTTTCAAGTTGGTCCAAATCGGGGTCCAAAATTAAACTTTGTTTGATTTCAACAAAAATTGAATATATGGGGTTCTTTGATATGCTGAATCTAACCATGTATTTAGATTTTTGATTATGGGCCCAGTTTTCAAGTTGGTCCAAATCGGGGTCCAAAATTAAACTTTGTTTGATTTCAACAAAAATTGAATATATGGGGTTCTTTGATATGCTGAATCTAACCATGTATTTAGATTTTTGATTGTTGGGCCCCGTTATCAACTTTGTCCACATTGAGATCAAAAGGGTCCAAAATTAAACTTTGTTTGATTTCATCAAAAATTGAATATATATGGGGTTCTTTGATATGCTGAATCTAACCATGTATTTAGATTTTTGATTATGGGCCCAGTTTTCAAGTTGGTCCAAATCGGGGTCCAAAATTAAACTTTGTTTGATTTCAACAAAAATTGAATATATGGGGTTCTTTGATATGCTGAATCTAACCATGTATTTAGATTTTTGATTATGGGCCCAGTTTTCTAGTTGGTCCAAATCGGGGTCCAAAATTAAACTTTGTTTGATTTCAACAAAAATTGAATATATGGGGTTCTGTAATATGCTGAATCTAACCGTGTATTAAGTTTTTGGATTTTGGGCCCCCTTATTAAATTGGTCCACATTGAAGTCCAAAGGGTCCAAAATTTAACTTTGTTTGATTTCATCAAAAATTGAATTATTGGGGTTCTTTGATATGCCGAATCTAACCGTGTATTTAGATTCTTAATTTTTGGTTCCGTTTTCAAATTGGTCTACATAAAGGTCCAAAGGGTCCAAAATTAAACTAAGTTTGATTTTAACAAAAATTGAATTTTTAGGGTTCTTTGATATGCTGAATCTAAACATGTATTTAGATTTTTGATTATGGGCCCAGTTTTCAAGTTGGTCCAAATCGGGGTCCAAAATTAAACTTTGTTTGATTTCAACAAAAATTGAATATATGGGGTTCTTTGATATGCTGAATCTAACCATGTATTTAGATTTTTGAATTCTTGGGGTTCTTTGATATGCTGAATCTAACCATGTATTTAGATTTTGGATATTGGACCATAATAGGTGAATGTCCAATTTAAAATTTTTAAGTTCTTAGACCACATTCATTCTGTGTCAGAAACCTATGCTGTGTCAAATATTTAATCACAATCCAAATTCAGAGCTGTATCAAGTTTGAATGTTGTGTCCATACTTGCCCCAACTGTTCAGGGTTCGACCTCTGCGGTCGTATCAAGCTGCGCCCTGCGGAGCATTTTATTTTGTTTGTTTTTGCCTTATATCTTAAATCTTATAATAGATAGATAGATAGAAACTTAAGTTAGCAAAAATGATCAGCCAGATAAGATCTACAATTAGGACAATATGGAGGAAATCGTCCAACAACTCCTTATTGGAGTTATTGCCCTTTAAAAACGATTTTTACCATTTTTTTTGCGTTTTTCCTTATATGATAAAAATTATGATAGATAAGAAGACACTTTAAAGCACAAAAATGATCAGCAAGGCAAAATCTACTAACAAGTCAAATTTTGCTGATATATTTAGTAGACTGTCACTCTTTATAGGAGTGATTGCCTTTTTTTACCCTCTTTTGTGTTTTGAGCAAAAAAAGAAGATAGAGAAAAACTAAACAGACTTAATGATCAGTAATACAAGATCAACAAAACAGAGATTTTTGTCATGAATTCTATTCTCATCTACAATGTTGGAGAGGGTCCTTTGTTAAATATGCACATAAGGTGAGCGACACAGGCTCTTAAGAGCCTATAGTTTATTGATTTCCTTTAGAGTAGTTATCAGCAGTTTGGTGTCTTTAATGATTATGATTATAACAAAATTATTGAATGGCAATTCATTCTTTAGGAGGGTGGTTTCAAAAATAAAGGACCAGACATTTCAGTTTACACTCAATTTCCCAAGCTTATTATCACCACTATCAAAATTGACCTTGTAGTTTAGTTTTATGTCAGGAAAATGTGCAAAAGGGGATACTCATAGAGTCCAGAAATAAAACTGCAACTTTATACTTCTTGTTACTTTGATAGAACTTTCATTTTTAAACCATCCTCATAGAATGGACTTATTATGGTTTACCATTGTCCATATGTCTGTCTGTCCACATGTTGTAGAAATTACTTGATCAAATTGAATTTGTAAACTAAAGGTACCGTTTTATTTTGAAAAATTTACCATTTTTGTTTCGCCTTGACGGAGTCAAAAAGCGAGACATAGGTATGCTGTTTCCGGCAACGGCGGCGATGGCAGGGACGGCGGCGTCAACAATTTATTAGTTTGTGATTAGGTCTAGTTCATGGTGAACCACTAGTGGTAGGTCAATGATATTTGGTATGCAGTTGTATAAGCATTGGCACATCTCATTACCATGGAGATTATTTGGCCCCGCTCCCTCAGTCAAGGTCTATTGACTTTGAAACTTTTCATAGTTTACATGTATTAGTTTGTGATTAGGTCAATTTATGGGGAACCACTAGTGGTAGGTCAATGATATTTGGTATGCAGTTGTATAAGCATTGTCATATCTCATTTCCATGGAGATCATTTGGCCTTGCCCCCTAAGTCATGGTCTATAGACTTTGAAAATTTTGCTAAGTTACCATGTATTAGTTTGTGATTAGGTCAGTTCAAGGGGAACCATTAGTGGTAGACCAATGTTAATTGGTGTTTAGTTGTATAAGCCTTAGCACATCTCATTTCCATGGAGAATATTTGGCCCCGCCCCCTCAGTCATGGTCTATTTACTTTGAAACTTTTGCTTAGTTTACATGTATTAGTTTGTGAATAGATCAGTTTAAGATGAACTGCTAATGTTAAGTCAATGATATTTGGTATGCAAAGTTATTGGCATTTGCAAGTATCGTTTCCATGGGGATTATTTAGCCCAATCCCTGATCATGGTTCATTGACTTTGAAACTTTTACATAGTTTACAAGTTGATGTTTGTGTTTAGGTTTGTTTAAAGGGAACGACTTATAATAAGTCAATGGTATTTGATAGGCAGTTGTATTAGCGTTGGCACATCTCATTCCATGGAGATTGTTTATCCATGTACCTTCAATCATGGTTCATCGACTTTGAATATTTGCATAACTTACATGTTAAAGTATTGCTATTTTAATTTCAACATTTGCATTTTCAAAATTACAAAAAGGTGAGACATATTTCTGTGATAACAGTTTATTTGTTCCAGAGTTAAGGGTCTTTAAACATCAGATTAAAGGCAATTTATCATATGTGGTGCACTGGTGCACTAGATCAAGTACACTTGGATGGATTTACTTGAAACTTCACTGTTTTGGGGACTGGTAAGAGTAATCTCCCATTGGATTTTGAAAATTTCTGGTTTGTTTTTACAGAGTTCTGCTTTAACTGTCAGATTTAAGTAATTTTTCACCTATCATTAGTATTCTTGGATCTGTTTACATTAGAACTTACAATGTTGCTGGGATTGGTGGAAGAAAGCTCCACTTTGGTTTTGAAAATTTTCCAATTTGTCATTCTAGAATTATGGGAGTTTGAGTTTCAGATTTAAGGCAGTTTTTCACATGTTGGCCACTAGCTTGAGGGTGCTTGGATCAAATTACTTGAAACTTTACACTGTTGTTGGGATTGTTTAAAGTAAGCCTGCTTTGATTTTGAAAAAAAAATGAGACTTGTTAATCCAGATGGGACTTAAACCATCAAATTAAAGACAATTTTTATATGCCCGTCACATAAGGGACATAGTATGGTTGACATATAAATGGATATAGTATGGTATACAGATTTCTTATTTAATGCCTTCAACAATATTCCATGTTGTTCTTGCAACAATTTCAATATGCAAACAAACGATGAATCTTGTGCTCTTTGCACAGCTGTGTACCAAAGCACTCCGTCAAAGTTTCAATAAATCTGCTTTAAATGCCTTAACATTTTTATTTTATCATTTTCCAAATAAACTTTGTTCATGCCTTTTTAATTATATTGTGAATAATGTGCTATTTGCACAACTGTTCAATTAAATCTGCTTTAAATGCCATAACATTTTTATTCATTATTTTCAAAATATATTTTTCGTGCCTTTAGAATTATCTCAGACCTGCCAATTAGCCCGATTTATGGGAGATATCCCCCATGAGAGGTGTTGACCTGAATTTTGAAATTCTTTACTTTATAAACTGAACACCTCAAAACAGGCATTCAAATGAGTTTAAAGAGAATTTAAGCACATACATACTCATTCAAACAAAATAGTAGTAGATTAAAAACACTTATGACAATAAAAGAGGAAAAAGAGGAGCATAAGTTCCTCTTGTGCTAAAATTTCCCCATGGAGATTTTGAAAAGTTGGCAGGTATGTTATCTCCTTCATGATAGTTACAGCTATTTGATAGTTTAGAAAATAATGTAATGTAATATATGATCAGGGATAGGCCTATTCAAAGGATATTCTTCATAATAAATTTCTACTCAATAAATATTTACGTTTTATTGAATTAGATTTTTCAAGAGTATGTGAACAGTCAACAGATTTCCACTTTCCTGATTTACAACAACAGCTGACATCAATAGAACAACAGCTTCCATTGAGAGACACATCAAAGGGGAATAAATCCTCTAGAGAATCAAAGGTTAGTAGACCCAACTTTCTTCTATGTAATAATGAGCAAGTTAGAATTCAATTTTACTAAAAGGATTTTTAGTTTCAAAATTAATCCTGCTAACCAACTGACATTTCTATCATTAGTTATAATGTCTAGAGTAGAACAGTAATGCACAGAACGATATTCTTTCAGAATCTTCCTAAAATATTTGCCACTGGACATAATTTTATGCATGCCTTCTATGTGTCTGATATGAAATGAGTGTAATTATAAGTAGGTAATACCTGCGTCAAACTTTTTATGTTTGTTTTCCATTAGAGAGTGTTTCTGGAGATATTTTAATCTCACATGAAAGGTCGATGTATGATAAGTTCAAATTCTATACAGCATGTGGTGCAATTAACAAGTTGCGTTCTAAGAATAACCTTTGGAATCCTTGAGGAATATTGTTTTCAACACTTTTTAATTTTTGATTATTTTCCACTGCTATTACCACTAGCACTTAATAGTCAATAAAGATCAAACCTCATTCGATGATCTTCAAAAAGGGAACTTTTTAGACAATGTCAAGTTGATTTTGTGTTGATCTAAATTAATTTTTTTTAAGTAGCATGATATTTATATGAACTTTGATATTCAATTTTCATTTTTTTTAGGATATCGGTCTGCAGACAGGAGACTTTTACATAACAAAACATTCTAACCTGTCAGAAGTTCATGTTGTTTTTCACTTAGTTACTGATGATTCGATTAGATCCAGTGATATAACATCACGTCATCCAGTCATACTCAGCATACGGAACATAATAAAACAATGTTTTCGACATGACATACACACACTAACCATACCACTTTTGCTGGCTCATCATATGTCAGAGGTATTTAATGTCATATTATATGTCAAAGGTATTTTATATCATATCATATGAAAGTGGTATTATATGCCATATCATATGTCAGAGGTATTTTATGTGAAATCATATGTCAGAGGTATTTTATTAGCATCATAAGTCAGACTGTCAGAGGTATTTTATGTGGCATGATATGTCAGAGGTATTTTATGTGACATCACGTCAGGGGTATTCTATGTGACATCATATGTCAGAAGTATTTTATGTGACAACATATGTCAGATTTATTTTATGTCACATGATATATAGTGTGTATCCTAATATTGAGATTTGGTATATAACATAAAAACTTCTGTATACATATATAGCTTAAATAGTCTGATAAACGGACATATTAATTGTTATAAATTTCATATATTACTAGTTATAATTTTGTTCTCTAGCTTCAGCTTGGTTTTTTGTTGTCATATTTTCTGAACGTATAATATTATATGTCCCACTTAATAGCTGTTTTAGGGACTTTGCTCATTTATTGTCGTTAAATCCTCATTTTGTTCTCTTCAAAACTTCCATGGTCAATAGGGCCTCTAGCTTTGCATATAAACACAGCTTTTATTTAAAAAAAAAAATTATTGGTTATTGACCTGGAATGGTGTAATTTTTGAACAACACCATTGTCCTATATTAGTTATATATAAAGTTGAATTCTTTGATTCATCGTTTTTTTTATGTCATGCTGGCTAACTAATTGGACAGCATTATTTTAGTAGTATAGATAGAAAGATATTTTCTAAAAAGTTCATATCCTTTCCAAATCATAAAATTTCAACAGCTGTCTGACATAATTATTACTACTCCTACATATTATATACATTTATATATTTATGCTGTTACACATATGGGCTGAACAAATTGTAATTCTCTGTGCAATGAATTTGGCAATAGAGCACTTCTTTGACAAAAGTTTATACATTTTTTAGCTTTGAGACTCAGGAACATGTCATAAGTGAACAAATTTGATATTTTTAAAAAACAAGAGTGCACACGCTGAAATGTCTCTCCTGCTTTACTTACCATTGATTTTATATTGAAAGTCATAATGATAAAGGTTTTACAAAAAGCATTACAGAAGCTTAACAGTTTTAAAAATCTATGTCAGTGCAGTCAAGGTCAGATAAACTGTGTCAGACAGCATATACACCTTAAATTTTTTTCTTACACCAAATATAGTTGACCTATTGGGTATGCTAATTGAAAAACAGACCAAAACACAAAAACTTAACATTGACCAATGAACCATAAATATGAGGTCAAGGTCAGAAGATACCTGCCAGACAGACATGTGAACCTTACAATTATTCCATACACCAAATTTAGCTGACCTATTGCTATTAATATTTGAAAAACAGACCAAAACACAAAAACATATTATTGACCATTGAACCATAGAAATTAGGTCAAGGTCAGATGATACCTTCCAGACAGACATGTACACCCTATAATCATTCCATGCACCAAATATAATTGACCTATGGCTTATTGTACTTGAAAAACAAACAAAAACACAAAATTTAACATTGACCAATGAACTATAAAAATTAGGTCAAGGTCAGATGAAACCTGCCAGACAGACATGTACACCTTACAACCTTTCCATACACCAAATACAGTTGACCTACTGCTTATAGTACTTGAAAAACAGACAAAAACACAAAATCTTAACATTGACCAATGAACCATGAAAATGAGGTCAAGGTCAGATGAAACCTGCCAGACTGACATGTACCCATTACAATCATTCCATACACCAAATATAGTTGACCTACTGCTTATAGTATTTGAGAAATGGACCTAACCAGGTAACTTTAACCTTGATCACTGATCCATTAAATGAGGTCGAGGTCCAGTGAACTCGTCTGACGGACATGTAGACGTTGCAAGGAACCCATATACCAAATATAGTTATCCTATTACTCATAATGAGAAATTCACATGACAAAAAAACTCAAATTTTTTTTCAAGCAGTTGCTGAACCATGAAAATTTTATTTTACCATACAGAACTGTTCGATTGTTTTGTTTTTTTGTCTATTTTTTTTAAAATTTCATATTTGCTACAATATAATTTTGCAAGTATTCAACTGTTGTTTGTAATTCTAAAGGAATAATAAAAGCTTTAAGATACTGACTGTATTTTACCTGTAATTAATTATTAATTGTTATAAGAACACCCATTGTATTTTGTTTGTAGGCATAGGTTGAATATATATTTTTCAAATGTTGGCATAGGTTGAAGACACCTTTTTTGAGGAATCATGTGTCAGAGTTATTTTATTAGCATCATATGTCAGAGGTATTTTATGTGACATCATATGTCAGAAGTATTTTATTTTACATATCATATTTGACATCATATGCCAGATGTATTTTATGTGACATCATATATCAGAGGTATTTTATGTGACATCATTTATCAAAGATATTTTATGTGGGATCATATATCCACTATGCAGAATTATTCTTCACATAATTTGTTTTAAAAAAAAATGAAACAAATGTTCTACATATTTTAGGAGATGACAATACCTTGGTGTCAAAGAAGAGCTGAGTTAGTGTTTAAATGTGTCAAAGGTTTCATGATGGAAATGGCAACCTATGAAAGTTCTAGTTCACGGACAATACAGTTTCTAGTTCCATTAGTAAGTACATTTGATGCTGATTTAAATACATTAAAGTGGGGACTTTTCATTTATTTGGATATTGAAATAGAAATGGGAAATTATTCTCTTTCTCATAATTTTTGATTTTTTAAAGAGTATTAGAAACTGGGACGAAAAAGGCAAAATAAGAACCCTCAAACAGGTTTGACCCTAGAAATCTCAAAATTTTAAACTCTGTGAAAATATTCCACTTTACAGTATTCACTTTTCAAAATATGCAAATCCTACCTAATAAGTGTCAACTATTACAGTATTACAGTATATACCCAGGCCTTATCTCAACACATTTTAGAATCATATTTTGAAGTAATTATATGCTATTAAACATTCTTATGAGTCCTTTGCAAAAAATTGTCTTTTTTCTCTAATGTCTGTACGCATCATATATGTCAGAATGTTCTAGTATACAGATGTATTTGTGTTGCGCTAGAGTATTCAATCTAATGCTTTCATGTAAGACCTGTTTTGAACTGTATTTTTCCTGTACCAATTTTCGGTCAGCTGATCAGTTCAATTTGAATTTAATTTAAAGCTGTTTGAATAATTGTTGAGTATTAAAATCACCAAGGCTGAGATGACACAGCCTGATACAAATGTTTACCATGAATATTTTCTGTGAGGAATGAAACTGGTAGAAATAATGTAAATGATTTATAATACGATATATATGCATTTTCTTCTTTTTTATTTCCTATATATATATAAATTGAGTTAAATTATATGGCCTTCCAAATACCGTTTCGATCCCTAACATCACTGAAGAGACATTAATTGTCGAAATTCGGATATGGTGTACAAATTTTTGCACCTCATGTTTGCGGTATACCATCTTCTCCGCAAGTTAATTGTTTTATGTTTGGTATTTAATTAATAATTAAGATCCATGTTACATCTTGTGATCAATTTATTTGGCAATCGTCAATGGCAGTCAGCAGGGTTTAAGAAAATCAGTTGTTCAATCTGTTAGTCAGATGCGATTTGTTAAAATATACTTTTCACTTTTTTGGTCTTTTGGAAAATGTTGTTTGTGCTGTATTTATACCCCTCCTCCTAAAAATTTGTTTTACATGCACACGTATAACAATTGCTGTTTTTATCCAACGCAATCATGGTAGAGGTTTGAACGTTGTTTACAATTTTGTACACCATATCCAGATTTCGATAATTAATGTCTCTTCAGAGTGTTAGGAATCGAAACGGTATTTGGAAAGCCATACAATTTACCTCAATTTAGGATAGACTCTTGAATTTCAAGGAGTCAAAATAGGATGAACGGATCATATAAACCTGAAGGCATATATAATACAAGCCCAAACGAAAAAATATAAACAAGTCTAAATTGAAAACAACATTCAAACCCATGATTGCGTTGGATAAAAACCGCAATTTTAATACATGTGCATGCAAAACAAATTTCTTGTTAGAGGGGTCTAAATACAGCACAAACAACATTTTCCAAAAGACTAAAAAAGTGAAAAAGTATGTTTTAACAAAACGCATTTGACTAACAGGTCGAACAACAAATGTTCTTAAACCCTGCTGACGCCATATATATGTAAGTCTAAGTCTAAAGATATGCACAACGGTACTAATATAAGATGGTAATATACGAAGATGATATTATAAATCGTGTTGACAAAAATTCCGCTTAACAAATAGCCTTCATTAGTGTCAATAATTTTAACAATACTGTATTGTTAAAATTATTGACACTATAAAAGTGAGGCTTCACTATACCTCTCATTGGTTATTTTACCTTTCATACAAGTTATTAATGGAATAGCTTAAGTTAATATTTAGTGTATACTGTATTATATTTTTTAAAGGTACAAGGTTAAAATTAACTTTGCCTTTGTTCTTCTTTCAGGGAATATCCTATGAAATGTTCTCAGGTATCAGTAATATGTTGACAACTATATTTAGAGTTTCCAATGCAATCAAGGTTTGATGTTCAGTTGGCCTGACACTTAGACAGGAAAAACAGACTGTTGGATGCAAGCCAAAGTTCAATCTGTTTCATTATGACCTTGAAAAAATGCTTTTAACAACATATACAGATCCTGATGGTTAATGTATGATTTGAAGAGGTTTACTTGTTTACAAGATGAAGATAATATGTGAATATATAATAACTATATGTTTATATTGTAGAACAAATTATAATTCTCTGTAATAAGAAATTGTCAGTCAGAAATTAGCTTGTAAATTAGTATTATAAGGGAGATATTAATAGACTATTTAGCCTTAAAATCAAAGGGAGAAATGGTACAGTGTCTACAGTGACCCAATTGAATTTTCTCCAGTTGATTTCATGGTTCCTTTGTTGACTTTGATGAATCATACATGTGCAATATTAAATAAAACATTGTTTTATTATTTGCTATTCTCTGTTACTTGATGTGGAATGCAATTCCTGAAATATTTGATATTTATAGATTATTGATGGTTTGTCAAAGGAGAAGGTGTTTCTCAGGTTCAATCTCATCGAAAGGTGACAGCCCTGAGATGAGATGTGGCCAAGAAACAACCTCGTGTTTGAAAGACCATTGTTAATCTGTTTATAGTTATTTTGCTTATGATGTCGTTGATGTTTACATTGACAACGGCACATGTGCCCTTAGTTTCTAGAGATAATTTTCTATCTCAAACGAAAAGCATGATATGAAAAAGTATCACAAAAAAAGATCAAAGGAAAAATACACAAAATAGCAATAATACTTACTTTGCATCTATGCATAACAAGGAATAATTTTTTCTCATATTTAAAAGAAAGAAAAAGGTGCTTCTTCAGTTGAAATGGACATATTTAATTTAACATGTAAAATATCCAAAACAATCAAATCAATGAACCATGACCACGAAGGTGCAGGGACAAATACCTCCATGGAAATGAGAAATGTCAATGCTAATAAAACTGCATGCCAAATACCATTGACTTTTCTTAAGGTGTTCCCTTTAAACTGACCTAAACACACACTTTAACATGTAAACTATTCAAAATTTCTAAGTCAATGGATTTGACTGAGGGGGAGAGGCCAAAAACCTCCATAGAAATGAGAGATGACAATTCTTATACAACTGTGTACCAAATATTATTTACCTACAACTAGTGGTTCTCCTTAAACTGATCTAATCGCAAACTTATACATTTAATGTAAGCAAAGTTTCAAAATCAATAGACCAAGACTGATGGGCCATTGCTTAATGATCTCAATGGAAATGAGATGTGCCAATGCTTATAAAACTGCATACCAAGTATCATTGTCCTACCACTAATGGTTCCCCTAAAACTGACCTATAAAGGACAAACTTATATATTGTTCATGCCCCCACTAGAAACAGAACGCCTAAGTCTCACTTTTTTTACTTCGTGGAGGTAAGACAATATTTACAAACATCATAGTTTATAGTTTGCAACCGTATGAACCATGAAATGGCAGAAACCACCTTTTGAACACTGTTCATAAAAAATCAACAACAGATTTTCCCCTGCACCTGCCCAGGTAGTCCAACATGTAACTTTGGTCAGAAGTAGGTAAACCATATTGAAACTGATATAGGATCTGAAATTACAATTTACTCATTTACTAACGGGTAAGTATTGTTTCCATACCTGCTAAGAATGCAAAAAATAAACAGAAATTTAATTTTCATGAAATTTTGAAGTCCAAGGGTTACACATAATATTTAAGCAGGTAAAATTTCTGCAATCTTTCACTTTTAAAAGCATTGAGCCAAAATGCTTTACAAGTTGATCAGTTTGTAGACAGTGGGAAATCTAGTGACAAAATATTACCTCCCCTGTAAACACTGAAAACTAGATCTTTTCAATTTTTGTCCCACGCTATCAATTTTAAATTTAAGGGAAAACACTCTTGTAAATAGTAAAAATGGAAATAAGTTGAAATAAAAACAAAACTTCCATTTAATGTTATTTCCCTACTTGAATAGCAAATGACGAGTACAGCAAACTACAGGAGCTTGATGTAAAATTGGTTTAAAATGTTGCTATGCGAATAAATTCCTTGAGTACCAACTTCAATTTATTTTTCTACTGGTTGTATACCTCTCTTGAACATGCTAATTATCCGTATATATATACAGGTAGGTCAGACAAGTTCAGGAAATTTTTTTCAAAGGAATCAGTTGATATGCAGCAAAGATTAACACTTTTGAAATTAAGTTACTAAGCAAATTCATATGAACCTTATCCACATGTAAACATTGAATGTGAATAGATCGAAAAGACCACAAATACATGTACAAAAAATAGAGACGACCTTTTATTAAAATTGTATAAAAAAAAGTAAAAAGATACCTACTTTATAAAAATATGCAGCAAAGATTAGCATTTTTTTAGATTTCAGTTTCACAAGATTCTAATGCGATTGTCTCGATAAATACTGAACATAAAACATCGTGTATTTGCATGTATAATTCTAATAACACAGTTTAACAAATAATTTCATTAAAATGTACAGTTGTTCATCAGAAATAACTTTTGATTAGTACTGTCACCGGCATTGTTTTATTTTTGATTTTCTCAACTTTTTTATAAGAAGAGTGAATATTATATTGTCTTCGTTCACTAGATTTCCCACTGTAGAGATGAATTCAAACTGCACTTGTTAAAACATTTTCGAAATTGGTATTGTGAAAAGACGAATCCTTTTGGATATGCACAATAACACAAATCTTTACAAGAACAGAAAATGGTTGCACACATATTAAAGTTGTGCACCAGTGGACATCATAAAACTGTTTGAGAAATTTTTCTTGATTTACCAACACAATTGTGGTAATAATAATGATATAACAATGTCGACAGATGGTATCTAATTCTTGTGGTTCATTCTTTCTACAGTAAGACCTTGGTCTTATCTAAGTTTAAAAATATTATTCCTCTTTGAACAAGTTTCTTAAATGTGGACATACTTCAAATCGAAATCAGGTACATGCTACAAAATAACTCAAACATGTTCAACTTATTGCTAAGGAAATAAAACCTTTCCCCAGAATCAAATTTATGAATGAATGATTGAGTTTTCATAGAGAAACCTTTCCCCAGAATCAAATTAATCAATTAATGATTGTTTTTTTATGGAGACATTTAAAGTTTCCATTGAATGAACTAGACAGAGAACATAAGCTATTGTATTTATTAAATGGGACAATGGGACTGATTCTGGGGAAAGGTTTTATTTCCTTTGCAATAAAAGAGTGAATAAGCTCAAAATTTCTCACCTAGATAATTGATTATGACGGAATATTTTTTTAAGTCTATGGAATAAGGTTTTACTATATGTATCAAAATTGTGATGGGCATTGGAATCATATTATGACTGAATATTTTTTAAGTCTAGATAGTAGATATCACTTAATAAGCAAATGATATTAAAGCAGATTTCCTAACTTAAATTCACTGTGAAATAATAAAAATGAAGCAAAGGTCAACCCTTTCACACATTGATCAATTAACCATGAAAACTAAGTTGAGGTCAGATGTTCCAGCAGATCAAAGACAGCTTGCGATATTTCAAATGACCAAAATAGTTTGTATTACAGGGCTTTAGAAAATTATTTTATCATGTGATTTTCTCACTCACATGAGGAATAAGACAACTATGTTTTGAAAATAGAACAATTGCAAGATCTACATGTTTATCTGCAAGTCAGGTTCGACTAACTTTGATCCCATTTCATGGGTCAAGGTTACGTTGTTTGAAGTGCATATCTCAGATACAATAAGCAATATGTAAACTATACTTGGTGTGGTGTACTTGTCTATCTGATAGTGTTCATCTAACCTCTGCTTAATTCCTTTTAAAAAGATAGATTATCCCAATCTCTGGCGCAGAGATCATATCCATTCCGTTCTATACTATGTAACACTAACACTCGTATTAAGTGAAGTATTGGGAAACACGCATGGAACGGATATGAACTCTGTCGGAAAGTGGGATTATCCAGCTTTTCTACCTTCTGGAATATATAAATTGTTGATGCTGTCAACGTCTTTCTTTCAGAGTATCTCACTGTAGACATTTGTATAGAAAAGTCTGTTTTGCATAATCACTAAATTCATTAGGATAAACAAGAGTGCACACGCTGAGATGTCCTGCCTGCTTTACTGACCATGATTGACTTTTATTTGAGGTCTTAAAGTTTTACTACAAGTATCACATAAACTTAACATGATCAATGTTGCAAGTGAGGTCAAGGTCAAATAAAACCCTGACAGACATTTAAGGTTAAATAAAACCTAGCTAGACAGACATTTACACCTCACAATCATTCCATATACGGTAGTTGACCTATTATTGATACATTGTAGTATCTTAGAATAGGACCAACACTGAAAAATTGACTATTGAACTAAAAAAGGAGGTCAAGGACAGATGACACCTTCTGGACTAACATGTACACCTTACAAGCATACCATATACTGGTACCATAGCTGGGCGCAGCTTGATACAACCGCAGAGGTCGAACCCTGAACAGTTGGGGCAAGTATGGACACAACATTCAAGCTTGATACAGCACTGAATTTGGATTGTTATTAAATATTTGACACAGCATAGGTTTCTGACACAGAATGAATGTGGTCTAAGAACTTTAAAATTTTTAATTTACCTATTCAACCCATATCATTATTGTTTGCTTTTATATATAAATCAGAAATAACCAATTTAAAATGGAAAATTTTAAAGAAAAAAAAAATACCTCCCCTAAATTTTTTGAACCCACTTATGATTCATCACCCCCAAACTCAATCCCAGCCTTCCCTTTGTGTTATGGTACCTGGCAGTACAATTTCAGAGAGATCCATACACTTGAACACAAGTTATTGTCTGGAAACTAGAAAAATGCTTGTTTTTAGGCCCCTTTTTGGCCCCAAATTCCTAAACGTTTAGAGCAATTACCCCCAAACTCAAACCCAGCTTTCCTTTCGAGATATGGAACCTTGTAGTACAATTCATAAAGATCCATACACTTACACACAAGTTATTGTCCTGAAACTAGAAAAATGCTTGTTTTTTGCCCCTTTTTGGCCCCTAATTCCTAAACTTTTGAGGCAATTTCCCCCAAAATCAATCCCAGCCTTCCCTTTGTGGTATGGTACCTTGCAGTACAATTTCAGAGAGATCCATTCACTTGAACACAAATTATTGTCTGGAAACTAGAAAAATGCTTGTTTTTAGGCCCCTTTTTGGCCCCAAATTCTTACACGTTTAGGGCAATTACCCCCAAACTCAAACCAAGCTTTCCCTTTGCGATATGGAACCTTGTAGTACAATTTCATAAAGATCCATACACTTACACACAAGTTATTGTCCTGAAACTAGAAAAATGCGTGTTTTTTGCCCCTTTTGGCCCCTACTCCTAAAATTTTGAGGCAATTACCCCCAAAATCAATCCCAGCCTTCCTTTTGTGGTATGGTACCTTGCAGTACAATTTCAGAGAGATCCATACACTTGAACACAAGTTATTGTCTGGAAACTAGAAAAATGCTATTTTTGGCCCCTTATTCCTAAACGTTTTGGGCAATTACCCCCAAACTCAATGCCAGCTTTCCCTTTGTGATATGGAACCTTGTAGTTCAATTTCAGAAAGATCCATACACTTACACACAAGTTATTATCATGAAACTAGAAAAATGCTTGTTTTTTGCCCCTTTTTTGGCCCCTAATTCCTAAAATTTTGAGGCAATTACCCCCAAAATCAATCCCAGCATTCCCTTTGTGATATAGAACCTTGTGGTACAATGTCAGAGAGATCCATACACTTGAACACAAGTTATTGTCTGGAAACTAGAAAAATTCTATTTTTGGCCCCTAATTCCTTAACTGTTGGTACCATAACCCCCAAAATCAATCCCAACCTTCCTTTTCTGGTATGGAACCTTATGGTAAAATTTCATGGAGATCCATTCACTTAAACTAAAGTTAGAGTGCGAAAACCAATGTGTCGACGACGACGACGAAGCCAACATCATACCAATATACGACCAAAAAAATTTTAATTTTTGCGGTCGTATAAAAAAGACCAAAACACACAAACTTAATATTGACCGTTGAACCATGAAAATGAGGTAGAGGTCAGATGAGTCCTGCCAGCCTGACGTGCACACATACAACATATAGTTGACCTAATGCTTATATCTGAGAAATGGACCTCAATCAACTTTAATCTTGATCACTGATCCATGAAAAGGGGTCAAGGGAAAGTGTCTTGACAAACATAGAGACCTTAAAATGATCCAATATACCAAATACAGTTACCCTATTACTCATAACAAGCGAGTATTTCATATGACAAAATAAACTGTTAACAGAGATGTGTCTCACCTTTTTAGCTCACCTGACCTGAAAGGTCAAGTGAGCTTTTCTCATCACTTTGCGTCCGTCGTCCTGCGTCCGTCGTCCGTAAACTTTTACAAAAATCTTCTCCTCTGAAACTACTGGGCCAAATGCACCCAAACTTAAACACAATCATCATTCAAGTATCTAGTTTAAAAAATGTGTCCGGTGACCTGGCCAACCAACCAAGATGGCCGCCATGGCTAAAAATAGAACATAGGGGTAAAATGTAGATTTTGGCTTATATCTCTGAAACCAAAGCATTTAGAGCAAATCTGACATTGGGTAAAATTGTTTATCAGGTCAAGATCTATCTGCCCTGAAATTTTCAGATGAATCGGACAACCCGTTGTTGGGTTGCTGCCCCTGAATTGGTAATTTTAAGGAAATTTTGCCGTTTTTGGTTATTATCTTGAATATTATTATAGATAGAGATAAACTGTAAACAGCAATAATGTTCAGCAAAGTAAGATCTACAAATAAGTCAACTTGACCAAAATGGTCAGTTGACCCCTTAAGGAGTTATTGCCCTTTATAGTCAATTTTTAACCATTTTTCGTAAATTTTTGTAATCTTTTACAAAAATCTTCTCCTCTGAAACTACTAAGACAAATTTAACCAAACTTGTCCACAATCATCATTAGGGTATCTAGTTTAAAAAATGTGTCCGATGACCCCGCCCTCAAACCAAGATGGCCGACATGGCTAAAAAATAGTACATAGGGTAAAAAGCAGTTTTTGGCTAATATCTCTGAAACCAAAGCATTGAGAGCAAATCTGACAAGGATAAAATTGTTCATTAGGTCAAGATCTATCTGCCCTGAAATTTTCAGACCAATCAGGCAACACGTTGTTGGGTTGCTGCCCTTGAATTGGTAATTTTAAGAAAATTTTGCAGCTTTTGGTTATTATCTTGAATATTATTATAGATAGAGATAAACTGTAAACAACAATAATGTACAGCAAAGTAAGATCTACAAATAAGTCAACATGACCAAAATTGTCAATTGACCCCTTAAGGAGTGATTGCCCTTTATAGTTAATTTTTTACAATTTTCATAAATTTTGTAAATTTTTGTAAATTTTTGCAAAATATTTTCCCCTGAAACTACTGGGCCAAGTTCATTATAGAGATAATAGTAAGGAGCAAGAATGTTCAGTAAAGTAAGATCTACAAACACATCACCATCACCAAAACACAATTTTGTCATGAATCCATCTGTGTCCTTTGTTTAATATGCACATAGACCAAGGTGAGCGACACAGGCTCTTTAGAGCCTCTAGTTGTTGAAATTAAAATAGCAAAAATTTAACATGCAAGCTATGCAAAATATTCAGTAAATAAACCTGGACTGAAGGTACAGGGCCAAACAACCTCAATGGAAATGACATGTGCCTTCAGCTAATACAACTGCATACCAAATACCATTGACCTAGCACTAGTGGTTTCCCATAAACTGAACGAATCACAAACTAATACATCTAAACTTAGCAAGTTTAAAAGTCAATAGACCATAACTGAGGGGCAGGCATAATCTGTATGGAAATGAGATGTGCCAGTGCTAATACAACTGCATACCAAATATCATTGACCAACCACTAGTGGTTCACCTTTATAAACTAGACCTAATCACAAACTAATACATTATTGACGCCACCGCCGGAAACAGCATACCTATGTCTCCCTTTTTGACTTTGTCAAGGCGAGACAAAAACGACATTCTTTTTCATTGGTCCCTGAACCATGACAATGAGGTCAAGGACAATAGACATATGACAGACTGAAACTTTGTAACATAAGGTATCTGCATACAGGAAATGAAGCATCCAGGTCTTGTACATTCCGACATAATCTTTATATAAATAGTTTATGCTGCTACTGGATAATAATCCCCAAGTCTGACAAAAACTACATGTTGAATTGATCCTTAATGTCAGCAGACATTCAATTGCATACAAGAAAGAACTGATTCAAAGAAGCTGAAATATAGGTAAACAGGTACATTTTGCAGGAATTAGCACTGTACACCCCCTTTTGATATCCAAGAATTTGCATACAGCTTTCATTTGATACCAATTTTGTTAAAATGTCTTTCCGATTCCGCAGTTACACAAAAAAAGAAGAAACTTCTGTACATGACAGTACTGTTATGAGGTATGCTCTCAGGCTAGGCCTACTAATAAGTGGTCAAGAGAGAGACAATGTTTGTATTTTCAAATTTTAATATTTACTATTTTTATGCTTCTTAATATAATCTTACAAAACTTTGAATGTTTATCTTTAACATGTATACAAAACAAACTGTCCAATTAAAACACATCCATCACCCATTCATACATAAAATAGTAAAAATAACCAAAGTGACAATGGCACACAATCTGTTGTTCCATTTATAGAAAGGGGGTAACCCTATATCTACTGGCTACAATTCGTTAATAAATATATACAACATTTTTGTATTTGGATGATCATACTATAAATAATTTACATTTCAAATTTCCAAATACAACAATGTTGTGAATAAGAAAACCTTATATAAGTAGGAAAAGAGGAAGCTATTTGAAGCACTATAAAAAATCTACTGATATACAGGAACCTAATGAACAACAAATTAAGTAGCAATGTCACTTGCTGAAAACTGATTTAATTGCACTATACTTCTGGTCACTGATGATAAAGTCTTCTTAAAAGAAACTCACTTAATCTTTCAAAGAAGTCGGAAAGAGTTCAAATTTTCATAACATGGTAGTTTCATTTCATCACTGAAAATCAACATCATTTACAATGGTGAATGATCCCTTCAGACAAATGCTGTTGCAATTTTAATATCAGGGTAGAGTATTTGACAATGCAAACCCTTCAAATACAAACATTAAAAGAGATGAATTTCTTTTAAAAAAAAACAAACCATCTTTTACTGAGGTCAGTGAAATAATATTTATAGCACTCATAAATTCAAAACTATTAATAACAAAAGTCACTGTTTATTGCTACAATTTAAGAAAAAATAATAACTTAAAAACATGATACATGTATGGCTATAGATAAAAAAAAAACCCAGAAAAACATGACAGGAAATTTGGATTTGTACTTTCTCTTGTCAATTTTCTACTGCAATGAGGAGACATATAGATGCTATTTGTAAGAAAGGGGCCTACGCTGGGTTCTCATTTCCAAATTTGAAATTTACAACTAAAATTTGGAATGATTACGAAATCTTTGGGTATGACTAGACAGGGGAAATATTCTTAATTATGCAAAGACTCTAAATTTGGTTGATCATGTTTTTTAAATAACTTTGAATGGATAAGATATTTTTTTTCTTGATTTCCATTTTTGAACACTGGATTAGATAAAAACATTTTGATGGAAAATATAAAATGCCAAAACAAGCTGCCAAAAATTACAAAATGACAGTCAAACATAATACCATATTGAATACATTTGTTTTCCAGATTCAGCACTACAGTTCTATAAATGATTACAAAATGAAAACTATTAAGTCTAAAGACATTAGAATGTGTCTACATTTTCATTTCAAAGATAATTGGATCCAGCTGGCAAGTGCCTGTGATGACATTAAAAAAAATACACTTAACAAAAACCTTAACCTTTTTTGATAAACGGTGAATTACTATGTAAAACTATCATAGCACCACTGGACCCACTCACACTTTTAAACATAGTCTAACATCTCTCTACATTCAACATGATATGGAAGCACTCCAGGAAATGTCTGCACCAAACATTAAACCCCAAATCTCAATATTGAACACAGTCAAATGAATTTAAATAAATAGACAACAATTAAGGTCACTTAATGTCCAAACAGAGATTCCAAATAACAGACTGGTTTATTTTCCCTTCCCTTTGACAATGGAATAAGCTCCCACCCCTGCACAACCCGTAATGGAAATGTCTATAATTCATCCTTTGCTGCTGCTTCATCTCCTTCCTCTTCATCTTCATCTTCATCCTCCTGAAAAAAAAGAATGAAAAATCATGATTTCAGAATAAAAGATTTCATAATTTTTATATTTTTATTTGACATTAAGAATTAAACATCCAAATATAGAAAATGTGCTGCATTAAAATTAGAAAAAGAGCTGTCTATCAATTTGTGCAATAATATGAACATTATTATTTTGTGCTGTCCTGAATATCTTATTTCAAACATTTCAAAAATAATTGTAAAAGAGATGCAACCGTTTCTTCATGATTATTCCAAAAATAATCAAATTATGCAAGCATCCCTTTCCTCCAGATAATTCCAATGGCCAATTTTCAGCCTTTCCTTTTTGAATGAGACTTGGTTTTTGTCATTTTTTTACTTATTCATAAACTAAAAAAATTGTATATACGGGGTTCGATATTTTTTTTAATAGCAAATTAATCAACTTTTCTTACAACCATCTTCATATTTTACACTCAATACCAGTGAAATAAAGCAGTGACAACACTTACTTCTTCTGGTTCACCTGCTCCCTCTTTTCCACCACTTTCTAAGAATTTAACAAATCCATCTAAAGTTCTTTCTCCATTATAATCTATAACCTGCAATCATAGAGAGAACATAGTAAAGAAATATGCTTTGCTGAAAATATACCAAAAACATCCAAGATTTAAATAGTTGCTTTAAAAATCAATGTATTTGCTTAGAAGAACCAAACAGAAATTCAAAATATGAAGTATTGGAGCTGTTGCAAATGACAGGGAGTCGTCTAGTCAATTTTCTTACATCCTTCTCATTGTTGCCGGTATAAAAAGTGATTGTTGTTTCCTCTCCTTTGTCAATACTTCATAAATTGCTGGTTACAATTACATTGAAACGGGCATCATTAGATAAATATCTATATATAACCTTTAGATCTAATGAAAAAAAAATATTGTCATACAGCATGGACATCCTTTAAAAATATTCTGAAATTTAAAGATTACTTTTTAATTTGTAGAGGTATTTTTTCAAAATCTGTTAATTGAACTTACATCACTGCTGCCTTTAGGGAAGTATTTAATAGTTGGAAAACTTTGAACTTTAACATCTTCTATTTCATTAGCTGTAGAGTCCATTTTAGCTATAACAATATCGTCTTTATCGTTGAATTTTTCTCCTAATTCATCCCAAATTGGGGCTAATTGTTTACAATGTCCACACCATGGTGCATCTGAAATAAAGACATACATCAATGAATAGTCTGTTGAAAATTGCAACAGCAGTATAAATAATAAAATGCTCCGCTGGGGCGCAGCTTGATACGACCGCAGAGGTTGAACCCTGAACAGTTGGGGCAAGTATGAACACAACATTCAAGCTTGATTCAGCACTGAATTTGGATTGAAATTAAATATTTGACACAGCATAGGTTTCTGACACAGAATGAAAGTGGTCTAAGATACTTAAAAAAATTTAATTTACCTATTCAAACCATATCATTATTATTTGCTTTTATATATAAATCAGAAATAACCAATTTAAAATGGAAAATTTTAAAGAAAAAAAAGGAAAAAGAATCCCCCCCAAATTTTTTGAACCCCCTTATGATTCATCACCCCAAAACTCAATCCCAGCCTTCCCTTTGTGGTATGGTACCTTGCAGTACAAATTCATAAAGATCCATACACTTGAACACATGTTATTGTCTGGAAACTAGAAAAATGCTTGTTTTTTGGCCCCTTTTTGGTCCCAAATTCCTAAACATTTGGGCAATTACCCCCAAACTCAAACCCAGCTTTCCCTTTGTGATATGGAACCATGTAGTACAATTTCATAAAGATCCATACACTTACACACAAGTTATTGCCATGAAACTAGAAAAATGCTTGTTTTTTGCCCCTAATTCCTAAAATTTGGAGGCAATTACCCCCAAAATCAATCCCAGCATTCCCTTTGTGATATGGAACCATGTGATACAATGTCAGAGAGATCCATAGACTTACACACAAGTTATTGTCATGAAACTAGAAAAATGCTTGTTTTTTTTGCCCCTTTTTGGCCCCTAATTCCTAAAATTTGGAGGCAATTACCCCCAAAATCAATCCCAGCATTCCCTTTGTGGTATGGTACCTTGCAGTACAATTTCAGAGAGATCCATACACTTGAACACAAGTTATTGTCTGGAAACTAGAAAAATGCTTATTTTTGGCCCCTTATTCCTAAACTTTTTGGGCAATTACCCCCAAACTCAATTCCAGCTTTCCCTTTGTGATATGGAACCTTGTAGTACAATTTCATAAAGATCCATACACTTACACACAAGTTATTGCCATGAAACTAGAAAAATGCTTGTTTTTTGCCCCTTTTTGGCCCCTAATTCCTAAAATTTGGAGGCAATTACCCCCAAATTCAATCCCAGCATTCCCTTTGTGATATGGAACCTTGTGATACAATGTCAGAGAGATCCATAGACTTGCACACAAGTTATTGTCATGAAACTAGAAAAATGCTTGTTTTTTGCCCCTTTTTGGCCCCTAATTCCTAAAATTTGGAGGCAATTACCCCCAAAAAATCAATCCCAGCATTCCCTTTGTGATATGGAACCTTGTGGTACAATGTCAGAGAGATCCATACACTTACACACAAGTTATGTCTGGAAGTTACAAAAATGCTTATTTTTGGCCCCTTTTTGGCCCCTAATTCCTTAACTGTTGGTACCATAACCCCCAAAATCAATCCCCACTTTCCTTTTGTGGTATTGAACCTTATTTTAAAATTTCATTGAGATCCATTCACTTAAACTAAAGTTAGAGTGCGAAAACTAATGTGTCTTCGGACAACGACGACGCCAACGTCATACCAATATACGACCACAAAATTTTTTTTGCGGTTGTATAAAAAGGAGTTCTTAATTAAGAAATAAACTGATTCGTTGAGCGCAGCTGGATACACCCGCAGAGGTACTACCCTGAACAGCTGCGGCAAAAATGGACACAATATTCAAGCTTGATACAGGTCTGAATTTGGATTGTAATTAAATATTTGACATATTATAGTTTCTGATAAAATGTAGTCAATGAACTTGAAATCGGTTATATGAATTGAATTTATATTCAATTAAAGATTTCTTGCTGTTGTGCAATACACTGTGCTGTTGTGCAATACTTAATAAATCTGTTGCCAGAGTATAAACAAATAAAGTTCAATTTCTTCTCAATGTCATATTTGAAATTTATGAAAATCAATAGGGAGATTACATCAATAGCTATAAATAATTCACCAAAGTTTCATGTGAACTGCTTAAAGCATTTTTGAGTTGTTGTCCAAAAACTGGAAAATCCCCCCTTTTTTAATGAATAAAACCCCATAACTCAGAAATGTAAAATCTAAAATTTATAAAATTCTAAAGGGAGCTTACGGATTGATAATTTAGTCTTAGATGCAAGATTTTTTTATCAGTTGTTAGTGGCTTTGAACTAGCTGTCAGTAACTGCGAGTACTCTCTGATTTGTACTTAGTGTCTTTTTGTTGTTTGGATGTACAACTACCTGACCACGTTCACTTGTATTTGTATTTATCCATCTGATGAGTTTAGCCTCTTTTCAACTGATTTTTATAGTTCTTTCTTATATTGTACTGTTACACCACTGTCCCAGGTTAGGGGGAGGGTTGGGATCCCGCTAACATGTTTAAGCCGGCCACATTCTGTATGTACATGTATGTGCCTGTCCCAAGTCAGGAGCCTATAAAAGTGTAATTCAGTGGTTGTCGTTTGTTTATGTGTTGCATATTTGTTATATTTGTTCATTTTTTTACATAAAATAGGCCGTTAGTTTTCTTGTTTGAATTGTTTTACATTGTCATTTCTGGGCCTTTTATAGCTGACTGTGCGGTATGGGCTTTGCTCATTGTTGAAGGCCGTACTGTGACCTATAGCTGTTAATTTCTGTGTCATTTGGTCTCTTGTGCATGTGTGGAGGTTTCTAATTGGCAATCATACCACATCTTCTTTTTTATATTTACATCAACAGATATAAAAAATTCACCAAAGTCAAGGTGAGACAACAAAACTTAGTTGTAAGATCTCTGAAATTTTTTACACGGTACGAGTTTTTCTCATTGTTGGAGATTGTACAGTGACAGTAACACCTGTAACTGCTTAAACCCATTTCTTATGCACTTCTAGTTTGATAAACTCACTGAATATCATACCACATCTCCTTATTTTTATATGCATTACAATTTACATGTGCATGTAATTGTAAATATATATATATCAGAACAAAATTCATTGCGTCACTTTTATTTATGCATCCTTTGGCACAATACAAGTTCTAAAATTACACAACATAAAACAACTAAATGTTATTTCAGATGAAAGTTTTGTTTCAGTTCCATTCATAGGATTTATTAGAATTTTGTATGTTTTGCCAAGTCCAATAATTCGCTCTATGTGACATAGAGACATAGTTGACTAAACCACCAGGTGTCGAACATTCAAGAATTTTCTGTTTTTATTTGATGAAAAGGTTGCCTGAGCTCTAGGAGCTTTAGGTTTTATCACGGGATATTCTGTGCTGTCAATAATAATCCAAGTCGTAGGAAACTTTAATTTGAAGTTGGATGGTGAAAAATACCTGACTAAACCACTAGATGGCCAAGTGTTAGCCTCACACCACTGTTTAGACATAAAAACAATCCATGTATACACAATATTCTTAACACTAGATTCAATCTAGAATCTAGACAGTTCAAAGTTGGTTGTATGATGCCTCAATTTCATCAAAGTCATAAAAAAACTGATTTTCAACTGACACCCTATCAATTTGAAAATATATGTATCTCAAACAATGTGCTGCTGGACCAAGTGTGGTCAAAACAAATAAAAATTTAGTATACAACTCTAAACCGGTACAAAAATGCATGGCTGTGTCACGTGTCTTCATTTCAAAATTCTCTGCTGAAAACATAGGCATTGATGGTGTTTGCGTAATTCCATCTGTGAAGCTCAACATTAGCTCGGCAGTTGGTGGTGGACAGTCATAAATCCTTTCTGCAGTATGAATGACTTCTTCAGGAAAACCAACTTTACAATCAAAACTTTCCTCTAGATTTCTACTACAATATTCATCAAGTTTAGTTCTTTTGTTTTCACAGGAAACTGCCCTGATTTTTCTTTTTGCGGACGATTCAGTCTCTTGCTTGGTCCAGGAAAATAGGCTGGGAATTGCAGTAGACTTAAGTCTCTGTATGGTGGGTTTGCGCCCTGAAAAAGGTTATAAAACATTAGTTTTTTTATATTTAAATGAACTTCCATTAGCAATGTATACTTTGTACTACCTGGCGAAATATTAACTAGATTTATTCATTACAATCTGGATAAAACTATGTTTGCCTGATTCAATGTATGTTATGTAAATCCAAAGGACAAACAATGAGAGACTTATGCAACAAACGTACATTGTTTGTACCTAAATAACTATAATATAGATGAGAGCATGTCATTGTTTTGTTCCTGTTAACATTGTCATTGATATTTTTCAAGAAAGTCTATGAGGCATAGCTTATGCATTCCTGTCATTACTACATTAGCATAATTACTGCTAAAATAATTCTCAGTATGATATACCTCTTGTAAGAAATCATTATAATTGTAGCAATCACCAAAAAATCTCAAACAGATCACATTGAATCGTAATCCAAAAAATTATGACGTCTTGAATTACCCACCCCCTTTTATTCTAAAACGATAATTGCGGTTGTAAACAGACTTTGGTTTATTCGCATGGCGATTACATATATAACTATATATTTCACAAAGAAAATAGTTTTACCATGAATAGTTTCCTGCACGTAGTCTTTTTCAGTAAAACGTGCCTTGCAAACAACAGCTGATTGAGATGGACTCCACGATATCATCGTGTTCTCGTCCAATCTGCGTATGGGCCATGGCGTTGATCCAACTTTTCCTTCTTTTTAAGTCATTTGGAAATGCATGTCCTCCTCTTAAATGACATCCAGGTACACAACAAGTATTTGGCATCGTTAATTAAAAATATAACTGAAATAGTTGCACAGTGCAGAAACCGGAAGAAGAGGAACAGGATCCGCTACCACGGCGCCACCTATTCAGGAACGATAATTTGCTACTTTATATATAACTGCGAAAATAACGTTAGACGGGATCACGTGCATAAACAGAAATGCGCTTTAAATTGTATAATATAATTCATGTTCAGTCGACCTTTAATTATTATATCAACGACTGAAATGATTTATAAACATCTAGATTGCAGATAACACTCGAAATTAACCCGAGCTCTTTCCACACGGAATTCAAATAATTCTAGTTTGTCAATCGGTTGACTGCTTATAATGCAAAATACTAATATATCAAAAGTTTTTAAAACTAACAAAACACAATGATCGTTTCTCTATTTCCCAATGTAAATGAAATGAAATAAAAAACATTTTATATCGCAATAAGATGAGGAGAGAATTCAACATTTCCGGATCTACTTGGAGTCTAATGACCCCCCACGTAGATAAGTTGAATATCGCGGAAGGAAGGATTAACCCGGCAACTAGAAAGGCATTAAAGCACTGCCTTTAAAAACCTAAATACACGGTTAGATTTGGAATATCAAAGAACCCCACTAATTCAATTTTAGATGAAATCAAACAAAGTTTAATTTTGGACCCTTTTGACCTCAATATGAACCAATTAGATAACGGGGTCCACAAATAAAAAATCTAAATACATGGTTAGATTCAGCATATCAAAGAACCCCATATATTCAATTTTTGTTGAAATCAAACAAAGTTTAATTTTGGACCCCAATTTGGACCAACTTGAAAACTGGGCCAAAAATCAAAAATCTAAATACATGTTTAGATTCAGCATATCAAAGAACCTCATATATTCAATTTTTGCTAAAATCAAACAAAGTTTAATTTTGGACCCTTTGGACATTAATTAATGTAGACCAATTTGAAAACTGGACCCAAAATTAAAAATCTAAATACACTGTTAGATTCGGCATAACAAATAAATAAATGTGATCAAAGATTTTACAAATCTAATGCGCCATACTGTGCAATTAAAGATTACTTCTTGAAATTTTTCAATATTTGAAATTTGAAAAAAAAATAATATTTGAAGAATAATTCTTTTTAATTTCTGAAATCTGAAATGAGAAAAAATTGGCCCCCCACAATTTCTTTTTATCCCCCCCCCCCTTTTTCCCCCAAAAAAATTCTTTCCCTCAAGATATGGTCATAATCTCAATTCAAATTTCCAATGGAGTAGGCAACCATAATTACCCATTTAAATTTACCATAGTGCTAACTTAATCTATTTTATAATAGAATTAATAAAAATATAGTGTCAAATCTTTCATATGGATTTTTTTGTAAAAAAAAAAGATGAAAACATTTGCAGATATTTTTACTGGTCTTCCTTTATAAATATGCATTTCTTTAAACATAATTTCAAAGCAGTGTAAGGGAAGTAACCAAAACGTTGTATTTGGATTACCTCCCTTACACTGTTTTAGATTATCTTTATTGTTCATTAACCATTACTTTATACATAATTTAAAAGCAGTGTAAGGGAGATAATTTCAATGATGTATTTGATTTATCTCCCTTACACTGCTTTAAATTATGTTTTGTACTAAAGTATTTGTCCATTAACCAGGACAACCTTGTTTTTCCCCCTTTTTTGCCCCTAATTCCTAAACGGTTTGAGCCATAACCCCCCAAAGCAAATCCTAACCATCCCTTTGTGGTATGGAAACTTGTAGTATAATTTCAGAGAGATCCATACACCGTTCCACAGTTATTGTCTGGAAACTAGAAAATGCTCATTTTTGGCCCCTAATTCCTTAACTGTTGGTACCATAACCCCCAAAATCAATCCCAACCTTCCTTTTGTGGTATTTAACCTTATGGTCAAATTTCAAAAAGATCCATTCACTTAAACTAAAGTTAGAGTGCGAAAACCAATATGTATTCGGACGACGACGACGACGACGACGCCAACGTCATACCATTATACGACCACAAAATTTTTTTGCGGTCGTATAAAAACATTGGAACAGCAGTATAAATAAAAAACATTAACTGCTACACACTTCTAACTTTTATTATAACATGCAGCAAATGCAACAGAGGATTAAAACATCTTTTTATGGATATGTATTGGAAACTTTTTGCTTTGTGTTCGCCTTGTCATGACATTCAACTGTTTTACATTTTTCATTTCGGGGCCTTTTATAGCTTGCTATGAGGTATGGGTTTTGTTCATTGTTGAAGGCCATACTGTGACCCATAGTTGGTAACATGTACATCATTTGGTCTCTGATGGATAGTTGTCTCGTTGGCAATCATACCAGATCTCCTTTCTTCTATTCTCTTGACTGACTAACAATAACAATAATCCTAGTCAATATCGAATGTAGACAAATAATAATTAATACATGTCTTTAAAATAATACATTTGTATTGAAAGAAATTAATGGTCCATTTTCCAAAAAAAAATAAAAAATATTCCTTACCATGTTTGATACATGGTTTCTAGAATAATTATGAAATGCCACCAATCCAGTAACTTTTCAAAATACTTGTCTGAATTTCCAAGACATTTTCTGATCCTTAAGTTCAAAATACTTTTGCTACTTCAAAGTTTTAAAGAATTTTTTCGTTTTACAGGGATGTAAAAAAAAAAACATCTTCAATCTAAGGTTTGCATAGGACTGAATATTAAACTATTAAAATATATACTTACAGAATTCTACTAAAACTGCTTTATCTTGATTGAAAGCTACTTCTTTAAAGTTCTTTCCAACTAAAGTTTTAACTGGTTTGGAATCCCAGTCTGCTGGCACTTCTTCGGACATCAAATGAGCCTGTAAACAAATTTAAATAAATAAATTCAAATGGGAAATATTTTGCAGGATATAAATGCTCACATTAATATGTTAATTAATACTTGAAGACCTCACTTTTCTGGCTCAAAAGTACAGAATAGACTGAAATTTCCGTTCTGCTTAGGGCAAATAAAAGTATATGTGTGGTTCCAGTTACCCGACCGACCCTAGAACTTTTCTTCCATTTCTGAAAAATAATTTTCGAATGATCACATTTTGTGGAATGTGAATTTCAATAATTAAATTCACAGACTTCTGTCATCTGAATTTCCATTAGAAGTATCCACTACGGCTACAATGCAACACAATTCTTAACAGAATGCAACAAAATTAACTAAAAACGTAACATATCTGTTTATTTTACAACCAAACACATAGAAAATGGCGAACTTCCGGTAGCAGTGATATTGTTGTCTTTTTTCAAAACTACCTCTACAGGTTTTTTTTTGGGGAAAAATGCATAATTAAAAATTAATTTTTTTTAAACACATCTTTGATTTTTTGCTAAACTTTACTGTCTTTTTTGCACAGTTTTATCACATATATTTTGATTTTCAGACATTTTAAACCTGAAAGGTACTTAATGCATTGAAAACCATATGTGTTACAAACACCGTGATGATTCTGATCAGAAACCTGGATCTCAAAAGCGCTTTCATAATATCAAAATAATAACATGTAACGAAATTTACATTCATTAATACCAATGCCATCACTTTTGGGAAAAATATAAAACTTATTGGGAGGAATTTTAAGCCATTTTTTTTTAGTAATTGGGAATTTTCTCTAGGGGGGAAAGTTGAATTTCGGATGTAATGTGAGGCAAACAATATCACTGGGTAGGAACATGTATGATACTGGAATCAAACTCTGTGAACACACCACTTTTTTCTGGATTTTGACAGGGCCAAAAAAAAAAAAAAAATGCTCCGCAGGGCGCAGCTTGATACGACCGCAGAGGTCGAACCCTGAACAGTTGGGGCAAGTATGGACACAACACTCAAGCTTGATACAGCTCTGAATTTGGATTGTGATTAAATATTTGACACAGCATAGGTTTCTGACACAGAATGAATGTGGTCTAAGAACTTAAAAATTTTAAATTGGACATTCACCTATTATGGTCCAATATCCAAAATCTAAATACATGGTTAGATTCAGCATATCAAAGAACCCCAAGAATTCAATTTTTGATGAAATCAAACAAAGTTTAATTAAAGACCCTTTTGATCTCAATGTGGACAAAGTTGATAACGGGGCCCAAAAATCAAAAATCTAAATACATTTTTAGATTCAGCATATCAAAGAACCCCATATATTCAATTTTTGTTGAAATCAAACAAAGTTTAATTTTGGACCCCGATTTGGACCAACTTGAAAACTGGGCCCATAATCAAAAATCTAAACACATGTTTAGATTCAGCATATCAAAGAACCCTAAAAATTCAATTTTTGTTAAAATCAAACTAAGTTTAATTTTGGACCCTTTGGACCTTTATGTAGACCAATTTGAAAACGGAACCAAAAATTAAGAATCTAAATACACAGTTAGATTCGGCATATCAAAGAACCCCAATAATTCAATTTTTGATGAAATCAAACACAGTTAAATTTTGGACCCTTTGGACCTCAATGTGGACCAATTTAAAAACGGGGCCCAAAATCCAAAAACTTAATACATGGTTATATTCAGCATATGAAAGAACCCCATATATTCAATTTTTGTTGAAATCAAACAAAGTTAAATTTTGGACCCCGATTTGGACCAACTTGAAAACTGGGCCCATTATCAAAAATCTAAATACATGGTTAGATTCAGCATATCAAAGAACCCCATATATTCAATTTTTGTTGAAATCAAATAAAGTTTAATTTTGGACCCCGATTTGGACCAACTTGAAAACTGGGCCCATAATCAAAAATCTAAATACATGGTTAGATTCAGCATATCAAAGAACCCTATATATTCAATTTTTGTTGAAATCAAACTAAGTTTAATTTTGGACCCTTTGGACCTTTATGTAGACCAATTTGAAAACGGAACCAAAAATTAAGAATCTAAATACACGGTTAGATTCGGCATATCACAGAACCCCAATAATTCAATTTTTGATGAAATCAAACAAAGTTAAATTTTGGACCCTTTGGACCTCAATGTGGACCAATTTAAAAACAGGGCCCAAAATCCAAAAACTTAATACATGGTTAGATTCAGCATATTAAAGAACCCCAAGAATTCAAGAATAAAACCCCATTGAAATTGATCAAGAAATAAGCAATTTATACAAAGTATATTCTTTTGCACAATACTGTGCAATTGAATATTTCTTGCTATTGCGCAATACTGTACAATTGACAATTTCTTGCTATTGGATATTTCTTGCTATTGCGCAATACTGTGCAATTGAAGATTTCTTGCTATTGCGCAATACTGTGCAATTGAAGATTTCTTGCTATTGTGCAATACTGTGCAATTGAAAATTTCTTGCTATTGCACAATACTTATTGTATAATAATTTACACATCCTGTTTGGTGTGTATTTCCTACCATATCATTATTATTTGCTTTTAAATATAAATCAGAAAAAACCAAATTAAAATGGAAAATTTTAAAAGAAAAAAAAAAGGAAAAAAAGAAAAAAAAAGAAAACCTCCCCCCCCCCCCCCCCCCCCCAAATTTTTTTTATCCCCTTATGATTCATCACCCCCAAACTCAATCCCAGCCTTCCCTTTGTGGTATGGTATCTTGCAGTACAATTTCAGAGAGATCCATACAATTGAACACAAGTTATTGTCTGGAAACTAGAAAAAATGCTTATTTTTGGCCCCTTTTTGGCCCCCAATTCCTAAACGTTTCGGGCTATTACCCCCAAACTCAATTCCAGCTTTCCCTTTGTGATATGGAACCTTGTAGTACAATTTAAGAAATATCCAAACACTTGCACACAAGTAATTGTCATGAAACTAGAAAAATGCTTGTTTTTTGCCCCTTTTTTGGCCCCTAATTCCTAAAATTTTGAGGCAATTACCCCCAAAATCAATTACAGCCTTCCCTATGTGATATGGAACCTTGTGGTACAATGTCAGAGAGATCCATACACTTACACACAAGTTATTGTCTGGAAGTTACAAAAATGCTTATTTTTGGCCCCTTTTTGGCCCCTAATTCCTTAACTGTTGGTACCATAACCTCCAAAATCAATCCCAACCTTCCTTTCGTGGTATTGAACCTTATGGTAAAATTTCATGGAGATCCATTAACTTAAACTAAAGTTAGAGTGCGAAAACCAATGTGTCTTCGGACGACGCCGGACGACGACGACGACGACGACGACGACGCCAACGTCATACCAATATACGACCAAAAAATTTTTAATTTTTGCGGTCGTATAAAAATGTGGATAGTGTCCACATGTGGACACAGATGATGCCCCCGCTTGCATATCATATAGTTATAAAGGGACATAACTGAAGAACGGTAAAAGTGACGCTACCCAAATTTGAACCTGATCTGAGTTTTGTGGTAATAAGCATTGTGTGCGAGTCTCATAACATTTGGTTGAGGCTAACTTAAGTAGAGAACAGAAACTAAAAATTCAGCAATTTTTCAACTTGTAAACCCGCATTACTCTAGAACGGTTGTGTATAAGTTTTATAACATTTGGTTGAGACAGACTAAAGTTAGAGAACGGAAACGAAAAATTCAGCAATTTTTATGTTTATAAAAGGGACATAACTCAAGAATGGTAAAAGTGTCACCACCAAATTTCGTACTTAATCTGTATTATGTTGTAATAAGCATTGTGTATAAGTTTCATAACATTTGGTTGAGGCAAACTAAAGTTAGAAAACGGAAACAAATAACTGAAGAACGGTAAAAGTGACGCTACCCAAATTTTAACTTGATCTGAGTTTTGTGGTAATAAGCATTGTGTGCAAGTCTCATAACATTTGGTTGAGGAAGCATTGTGTGCAAGTCTCATAACATTTGGTTGAGGCTAACTTAAGCAGAGAACAGAAACTAAAAATTTAGCAATTTTTCTATTTGTAAACACGCATAACTCTAGAACAGTTGTGTATAAGTTTTATAACATTTGGTTGAGACAAACTAAAGTTAGAGAACGGAAACGAAAAATTCAGCAATTTTTATGTTTATAAATGGACATAACTGAAGAATGGTATAAGTGTCGCCACCAAATTTTGTACTTAATCTGTATTATGTAGTAATAAGCATTGTGTATAAGTTTCATAACATTTTGTTGAGGCAAACTAAAGTTACAAAACAGAAACAAAAAATTTGTACTTGATCTTAGTTTTGTGGTAATGAATTTTGTGCATAGGTTTCATAATGTTTGGTTGGGACAAACTTGAGTTACAGAATGGAATCCCAATGGATACTAAAAATTTTGCAATCTTTCTATTTATAAAGGGGCATAACTCAATAATGGTTAAAGTGACACTACCCAAATTCAACTTGATCTGTGTTTTATCAGTGGAAGTCAAAATTAAACATTGCATTGTATAAAGCATTGACTGTAGTCGATTCAACTATAATCATGGACAAAGGAAGATAACTCCAATTTTATAAATTACTTGATACTTAGAAGAAAATAAAATTTTTGTAATTTTTCCATTTATAAAGGGGCATAACTCTAGAACGGTTAAAGTGACTCCACCAAAATTCAAACTTGATCTGTGCTTTGTTGTAATAAGCATTGTGTATAAGTTACATAACATTTAGTTGAGGTAAACTTAAGTTAAAGAACGGAAACTAAAAAATTTGAGATTTTTCCATTTATAAAGGGGCATAACTCTAGAACGGTTAAAGTGATGCCACCAAAATTCAAACTTGATCTGTGTTTTGTGGTAATAGGCATTGTGTATAAGTTTCATAACATTTGGTTGAGGCAAACTCAAGCTAGAGAACGGAAACCAATTTCGGGACGTACGGACGGACGTACGTACAGACGGACAAGGGTAAAACTTAATGCCCCCACCACTAAGGCGGGGGCATAAAAATACATGTGTTTCCACTAACCCTACCTACCCTAATTTTTAGTGCCTACCCGAACACTTTTTATGCCATTTTTGAACAAGCACTGTTAAAGTCAGAGAGATTCCCTAGAAGTACCCAGCAAAAAATTTTTTGTAAAATAAAATATTGCCTACCTACCTACCCTATTTTTTCCCAGCATGTTAGCGGAATCACATGTATTATTTTTTTTGGCCCAATCCAAGAAAAAAAAAAATTGCCAACCTACCGACCCTTTTTTTTCAGGATGTAACTAGAACCACACATATACTTTTATTTGGCCGTACCTGAATTTGACATGAATGTCCCCACTCAAGCTTTGTAATTTGCCAAGTCAAAAAGGGGCATAACACTTGAACGGTTAATGACTTTCTGTCCAGATTTGAACTCTGTGAGTTTTGGTTCTTAGCATTATATAGGAGTTTCATAAAATTTGGATTAGGAAAACTTAAGTTAGAGTGCAGAAATGGAAATGGGACGGACAGAAAGACGGAAGGTCAAGGGTAACACTTAATGCCTCCATTGCCTACAACAGGGCATAAATATATTTCAGCATTCATTTGGCAATAAAATTGACACATCAGTAGGGATTTAAGGATATCTTTTTCTTTTGAGGAATATGCAGTTGCTCTTACCATGTCTACATATTCAAAGTATTATTATTGTAAGAGTTTGAGTCATCTTTGTCTAAATGGTTGTATAAGAAGTCAAATTATCAAAGTCTCACTACTTTCATGGCCTTGTGTACCATGCAAGAGAGGAAACTAATATGAAGTTTCCTTATTCAAAAAGTATATAGTTTCTTCAAATCTTCTTTGAACCTAAAATTGATTAATAACAAAAAGTCTTTGTCTCAATCTCACCTTCAATTTGCCATCTAAAAAGGATTGTACGAATGATGTAACAGCATCTTCTGAAAGATCATCAGAGTCTGGTTTATATTTGGTCATGTCTTCTCCTAGGGTGATAAGACGAGCAGCTGGGGTTTCTTCTTTCTTCAAACCAAAGAATTCCAAGATTCTTGCATTATCTTCATCTGAGGTATCTAAGGTGATAAACAGAACTTTTCCTTTAAATCCAACTGCAGCTTTCCTGTATCCTTCCAAAATTTTGGCAGAAGCATCTGCTTTCTTTTCTAAGAAGAGTAAGATGTGGTTCTTGATTTCTCCACCAAAGATCTTTTGTGCAGACTAAAGAAAACAGAAAAAAAAGGTATAAAAACCAACATCGAGTTAAAATTGTCATAGAACCGAATATAAAGTTTAACTTCAATATTGTCATGTTAATCCAGTTATTATTTATGTTTTTCAAGAATAACTGTTTAAATTTAAGAATTTCACAAAATTTAGGATTTCTTTTAATCAAAAACATTCAATATAATGCAGTGAAATTTTTATAAAGAAATCAGAAAAATGAATCACTCATTGTTATAGCTTTTACTATTTAACATACAAGGATATCCAACCAGACAAGTTCTGCAACATTATTTTATCTTGGAATGACAAAATTTTCCAAAATTGAGATATCAATAATGATTGACTCATCAGAATGTATTTTCACCTCAACGTATTAAACCCATACAAGTATCAATGATCCAAAGTATTTAAATATTTTGAAACCTGATAAAATTAATGTTTTTCATGCCCAAACATATTTTCAAATATTTGTTTTAGAGTAAGGCTGAGAAAAAAAAAATCTGTGTTTCCGGTAACCCGACCGACCCTGTTTTTTTAGCCCCGACCCTAATTTTTTTATTGGATCTTCAAAAAAAAAATAAAAATTGGTATCAACCGACCCTGTTTTTTGACACAGGCTTTTGTTATTCGACATAATTATTTATGTAACTGCACAGAAAGCCAGTAAAACATTTTATTTATGTCAAAAGGTATTCCAAATAGGTTAAAATCCAAGAAATTTGCACAGCAGGTGCTTCAAACACATTGCAAATGGCCGCACTTTAGGTATTTGAAACTAATTACGGACACGGACTTGGATAAACCATGATAATTTTCCGGATTTCGTTTACAATGTAAAAAAAAAATAAAAAAAAAAAAAAAAATCCGACCTACCGACCCTATTTAACAAAATGATGTTACCGGAAACACAGATTTTTTTTTTTTAGGCCTAATGATGGTTGCCATGTTTAAATGTGTTTAGTATGATAAACTAATTTTTATTGGGACATTACCTTTACATAATTTGTGTATTCATAGCTTACCCCTTAATTCTAATTTTAGTAACAGTAGCCATTTTGATTGACAGGATCAAATTTGAAAAAGGACCCAAAGCAGATTGTGTTTAAGTTTGGTTCAAATTGGCCCAATGGATTCACTGGAAAAGACTTTTCAAAAAGTTTATGATTATAGGCAGACCAATTGAGCTATAATCTTGCAACTTGTTGTCCCATTGAGGATTATGCCACATCTCCTTTGTTAAAATGTCAAAAACTAGAGGTAAACAGTACCATATGATCTGGTTTACTAACCTCTTGTGTAAATTCAATAATCAACGGCAATCTGTTGGCCGAGATGAATTTGTTCACGGCATCAGCAGTAACTTCTCCTTCAAAGTTATTACGTCCTTCATCAAACTGTAAAATAGTAAATATTCAAGAATGTTAGAATATCCATGTAAATAAACAAGCTTATAATGATCTATTACATACTGCTAATTCATGAAGTATTTAAACCGTTACTTTAATAAACTTTTACTGATTTATTATGACATACATGTACCAGTAATTACATGTACATTTAACAATGCATCAGTCCTTAATTAAATACCTTTTAATACTATATAGCTTAAGGCAGTGTGGCCATTCAAAATGGATACTTCAATATACTATGAAGTGTCAAATGTAACCTAACTGGTTAGTTCAACTTGCCCTAAAGCTATGCCACAGATTGTCAGTGGACTTGTTTAATAGTTCATTTAACCTTCATTTTATAAAAACATTTAATTTTCTGATTCTTGGCATGAAATGCCAGATGATGTAAATTCATACATATGCAAATGTACATAAACTTAATTTAATTCACTACCTGATTAAAACGGAAACCAATTTTTTTCAACCTGTAATATATACATCTGCTATATGAGAAAACTTAAACTAAAATATTGAATCTCTCATCCTTAGGAAAATAGTTTGAAACTGTAATTTGATGAACTGTCAATTTACAGAATGCATGGATGTGAGTATGTGTTAATTTAGTACTTCTTTTTCAAACATTTTTCTGATGATGCTATTATTTTGTTTAAAGGTTGATGTATTGCAGTACATTAAATCCCCATTTTCTTTAAATTTTACCTTCTTGAAGAGAGCAACACCATCAGATTCCATTTCATATTCTTTGAAGATATCAGTATTAGATGTAATTCCGAATGGGATATCATCAATACCTTGTGCTGCTTTCTCATATTCTTTAGCACTTTCTGACTTCAAATCCTAGAAATGAAACATTCAAACATTTAAAAAACACAAGAATACTTCAAATTAAGAAATAGTTCAAAGAAATCTCTTCAGCTTTTCTTATTTTGCAGAGCATCAATAGATGAACACTTTTTAAATTGAAGACATACATTTAAACAGTATATAGGATGATACCTTGAGAAGAAGGCAATCAAGACCATAACATCTTCATGAATAAGGGATTATTACTACACAAAAAAAAATGTTTCCTTGAACAAACTTTTTTTCAATCAAAATTATATTTTTGGGGCATTTAGATTCAATTGTATTCTGATTTTACAAACTTCAATGTACCTTAAGGTAAAAACATGAAAAAAATAAAACATTACCATAATTAGTTTGTTGTAATTTTACAAAATCAATAAAATGTAACAGCTGTTTAAAATTAACATAAAAGTAATTACAAAAAATTTAGTAAGACCTTCGTTTTACAAAATGCCAAACAGAAAATCCATTTTGAAGTTTTTTAAATTTCTTTTCCTTTCCATACTTAAGATGGAAGTCATTTATATATTACTTGGATGAAAAGTTTAACCTAAAAGACTTAAAAGAGTATATGAACTTTAATACAGCAACCTAAAGAATAACTTAATTTTTGAAAATTTGTAAATCACCTTGAAGAAACCAAGAACAACAACTTCATCTTTCTCAATCATTGCTTTAGCAGCATCAACTGAATCTAAAGTAACACAAGCGGGACCAGTCTTCTTCTTCAACCAGTTTACAATGTCAGCTGACTGTCTACCACCTATATAACATAAAATTGATAATTATGATGGTTAGTGAGACTTAATTTTGTATTCAACAAACACTTTTGTAATCACAAAAAAATAAACTGTAGACACATTATACTGCATGAATTACAATATACAGCTTTAAACAATAATCCTAAAATTTCTCTATTATACAAACCATGCAAAACTGTATTAACATTAAAGGTTTTTTTTATGTTAATGAACACATTTCTCAGGCATTAAAATATAAAACAGCAGCACAAACGGCATTCAAGATATTTTTTGTTTCATAAATTGATCACAAGATCCCAGAAAACAATGGACTGCTTATGGAAAAGATATTCCAAAAAATCATTAAAAAACTATGTATTCAAACCAAAAAGTTTTTATTCTTGGAATTTATACCTGAATAATCAACTGGTGTTCCTGATCTGAAGAATTTGATGGTAGGGTAGCCTCGTACTTCATATTTTTCTCCAAGTGAAGACTCGACAGTAGCATCAACCTTGGCTAACTTTATGTCTGAACCTTCATCAGCTAAAGCTTTGGCTGCCTTCTCATACTCTGGTGCTAAAGCTTTACAATGGCCACACCATGGGGCATCTGCAAATAAAATAATTGAATTTATTGTCCACAGTGAATTTTTAACTTAATGTGTTATTAGCAGTTGCAGATCCAGGATTTTGAAAAAAAGGGAGGGGAAGGGGGCTGTGGCCCCCAAACTAGTAATTGTTTGGAGTGGGACATGTAATTATATTCTGTACTAGTTTCATCATCTAGGAATTAGGAATTACACTGTACATCAAATTATAGATGACAAAATTGTTATTTGCTTTAGAATATAAGAATAACCATCTGAGAACCCAAGGTTGTACATTTATGATTCAAGTAATGATTAGATTTGATGCTCTTTAATTGTTGACTAGTTAAAGAAGGAATTCGAACACTAAAAACCTGATCCTTTTTTACATGTAACCTCCAGCTGGAATTCAATTATACAAATTTGTGTTAGGCATTTATCGGATTACATTATTCTTGATCAGCAGCTACGACAAAACAATAGCAAGACAATTAAAAAGTAAAATATGTTGATTCAACTCTTGAAAATCTAAATACCTCAAAACAGATTAATTCTCAAGTATGTCACATTAACCCACATAACTGTATCCAACCGACATTACAAGTTTGTTTAAAGTTCTAAACTGGACTTGCAACAATTTAATAAAAGCACATTAATAACATGTTGATTATTTTTGTTGTAGTTCAGTCGATTTTCTAATTCTTGAAGCCTGTCATATCATACAATAAAACTCTAGACTATTTAAAATAGCTCATGTTATTCTTTAGAATGCTGCTGACGCTGGATATTCCATATGGAAACCTGAACTTGTCATACAAATTTAATTAAAAATGATATCATCCACTGTTATCGATATCTTGTATATGATAGACATTATTAAGATATGCCTGTACAAAATAGTTATCTAATAAGTATGTTTGCATGTGTATTTACTGACAGATACTTACAAAACTCAACCAAGATGTTTGTGTTGTCTTTCAGAGCATCTTCGATATTTGCTGTTGTCAACACTAAAACACCGTTTTCATCTTTAATGTCTGCTCCAAAAGTTAGAGCAATAACGCAGGCACTTAGAAATAAAGACAGCATATTTTTTGCAGGTGTAACCGATAGTTTCTGTGATGAAAAAGACTGATCCCAAAGTATATCAACTTATTTGCAGTCTTCAACGTGGCAAAGAGACCGGTCTATAATGCGCATGCGTAAAATAAGTCAGCACAACACAACCGTGTTGTGGAGGGATTGGATGAAAAACTGTGTCACGTGTAAACGTAAGACGTTTAACAGTTTTATAGGGGGAACATGTGCTCCCGGATATAACAGTTCCACGTTTACTATTTTGAAGGTTACGCTTCGAATACCACAAACAATGACATAGATTTGTTGTTTTCGGTCATTTTCGAATGATTAATTAAACAAGGATTTATATAGTATATTTTACCAGAGACATAGATCTACATAATTTATATACAAACATACTAATTTAAATCAGTATAAAAATCAAGTACAAAAGGATCATCGATGAAATACATGAAAACATAGAAGAAAAAAAAACAAAAAAGATACAGCAATTTTGTGACTTATAACAAACAATAGACAAAACCAAAACACACACACATCAATTATGCAATTATTCCTCGAGAATTCCTAATTATGATACATTTGTCTATATATATATATATAAGAAATCTGTTGAGAACATCAGTCACCATATATACAGTTCATTAAATATCTAAATTTATCAAAATTGGATATATGTCTCTTTTAGGCCTACTATTAAAATCCTTGATTAAAATCAAGATATTGTCTTTGATTTACAATATATACATATACAACATTGAATTGGGTTTTAAGACTTATTTCATTTATCAGCTGGGACATAATTTAATATGATTCGTAAACGTGGAACTATATAACAGAGACGTGTACGATCTGGGACTGTATGATATATATGGTCATATGAGTCCCAGGTACGATCGTTATTATAATCAGAGCCTCGGACATATATTGTATTATATTTTTCTGTTATAATTAAATAGAAAGCATGCAAGTTTTTTTTTTTTTTTTTTTTTAATATACACACATAGCTATCATGAATTGATTATTGGGCGCTATTTCATTGAGAGATTATATCTGATGCATTTACTAGGCTGCGTGCCGTGTGCAGAATGTCGTCCCTCCGGTGCTCTGGGTTAAAGTAGCCGAATTGAGGTTTTAATCGGATCTGTGAAAATATCGAAATCCGACTATTATAATTTTATCTTAATTTCTCGACCTTTATATCATTTCTCATAAAGTTTTGAATAGCAACTCTACCAGCTCATCCGTACCACTCTTTGAATTGTTAGTTGCACCCATAGATTGGCGCATGGACTTATAACTCCCGTAATCATTCTATTCATCATAGGTAGTATTTTTATTATTATTTTAGCTTGTTTTTTCCTTGTTTGCGCTTGCTATCACTAACGTGACAATCTTGTCTTTGGAGTAGTTTTTCCATGATATGTGCTGCCCCTATACTTCCACGTCTCTCTCTCTCTCTCTCTCTCTGTATCATCAGTTGCATCAATTTTAAAACGGAATTCACTGATTTGTGCCAATTAACCCGGTGTACACATATTTATCGTACATACTTCTTAATAAATTATAGTACATTAAACAGAATTATTTACGGAATAATTAAAGTAGAAGCTTTTGCTGATTTAACCGTTTAAAATAATTATGTAGTCCGACTGTCAATAGTTTGATGTTTCATTCTCATTCTTTTTGAAAAGAAACCCACTTTAAATTACTGTAACTTCGCCAATGTAAACTTTGGGGGCATAAGCTCGGGTAAAAAGGAGGAGGAAAGTCATTGTTTTTTAGTGAAATAACTTGGCGCGAGCGTATAATTTATTTTTGTCGCAAATGATACTAAGTATTTTGAAAACTATAGCGGAGCAAACGTAGCATTGGCGAAAATGAGTTGTGGCGCAAACGAATTTCTCCCATGTATACAGCTCCGATTCTATGTAGTCTGGATAACCGGCCAACGAGAGAACATCCAAACGACACATATTTCCAAATGAAAAGACATCTAGGGGTAATCTAGCTTCAGTCTTCAACAATTAATAGATAAGTGTCTGAGCTACACAATATGTCAGGCTCTATATATAGCCCCGAGTCTTAAGAAAAAAATGAGGCAGCAGGTCGTGAGGTTGGAGATCTCGTTCAGAGGTTTTGGGTACATATGTACAGCTGGGTTTTAAAAACACCCCATTGATATATTGAAGTCTTGTAAAAATCGCGACCTATGGCATGGCAAAATCCATGTAGGCTTACACATATCTGTATATTACCCAGTTATCAAACATAAAATCTGTGACATCGTAATTAATTAGATTTAAACGAAGGACTATTTAACATGTGTCAATACAAATGTTAACAGATATAATGACGTTAACCAAATGAGATCATTTATATGAATTAGGTATATATAAGGATTGGTGAACAGCATTTATAGACATCTAATCGGAATACCAAAAAAAAAATAAAAAATTACTCATTCGTTGACCTAACAAATACAACCAATAGTGAAACTGCACCTCATTGATATATTTGGCATATATAAGAAAGTATACCGTCGGATAGGAAGAGAACACCTTTCCCCTTTCCGTGCAAACGGTAGCAAATGGATAAGTAAAGAAAAAGTGACATTGTAATAAAGTTGCGATTAATTCTAACACAGCCTATCAATGATCTGTGGTCAATACTGAGATGTTTCACAATTCCATATGGTATCATATGGGTGGCCTGTCGAGATCACGGTGGTCGTCATTTTGCATGGATGACGATCTAATTTAATAATATCTAGCAGATGATGCACAGCTTTCAGAAATCAATTTCACAAGAATATTAAAGCCTAAGGGTGCGTCTTTTTACAACAGACCGTGACGTATAGTACCTGTAGATCAACACAAAAAGCCCGAAATATACCACACAGAACCCCTAATGTACGCTTCAGCGCTTTTCGTTTATTGTTTTGAATATAAATAAGGCCGTTAGTTTCCCGTTTGAGTAAATTAACTCAGTTGTTTTGCATTTGTCATTTCGGGGCATTTTGTAGCTTGCTATGCGGTCACAGTATGGGTTTTGCTCATTGTTGAAGGCCACACGGTGACCTTTAGTTGCTAACTTCTTTGTCATTTGGTGTCTGGTGGAGATTGTCTCATTGGCAATCATACCACACCGACAACATCTTATTTCTATATTCAAGAAGTATATTGTTTTCTTCATTACTTCGTTAATTTTTGGTACAATATGAAATTTTTGTTCACTTAAATTTTTTAACATTAACATGATCTCGGACCAAAAGATAATCGTGTAATCGCGGAGTCCCTAACATAATTGATGAAATTTCCGGCGGATACAGACTAACCCGCCTTTAAATTTATAGAATAATGACATAAAATACTTTTTTTAATTTGTTAATTTTGATGATGTGTTTGTCTGCTTGTCTGCTTGTATGTTTTTCTTAGTTACTTTTGTAAATAAATTAAAAAGGAGTATGCAAAGAATACGAGCACAACGGAAAATGCAGCAGAGTGATTGCAGCAAAAAAGAATTCTATATAAAAGATTAGTACATATGTCTCTGTTGGTATATATATTTCTGAACCAATATATATGCCCTGACAGTGAAATCTCACTTCAATCAAATATAAACTTCAAGAACTCCTACAAAAGATAATTAATGGTTGTACACTGACCTTTTGGAAAACTATCATGTACAGTGTATCTTTTAGTGGTTATGTAAATGACCGTGTTGTTATCACGGAGAATACGAGTCGAAAAAAAAAGCACAGGCGCTTGGGGAATGGATTCCCTTTTTGAGGTCACCTGGCCAAAAGCCAAGTGAGATTTTCTCATCACTTGGCGTCCGTCGTCCGTCTTCGTCCGTTAACTATTACAAAAATCTTTTCATCTGAAACCATTGGTCCAAATTGGAACCAAATTTGGGGTCCATTTCCAAAGCGCCTAATAGTTCAGATATAATTCAAATTACCAACGTTTAAATTGTTATTACCGCAGCGATACAAACGCCGTACATTTTACTTGAAAAGGTAATTTGTTTTTTATCACTATCCAGGATGTGGATTCTTCACGTATGCTAGTACATAAATTTTAAAACATTATTTCAGGAAAAGGAAACCGCCTTTATCCTGTTTGTTATAGTATTACCTCTCACTAAAATTTCATACAATGAAAATAATGATGACGTGAGCCCGAGCTGCGTCGCTGGACTGCACTTATTCTACTGTTTATTTTATATCTATTGCAATATCTGTCAAATATATTATAATGTATAATGTGCTTATATTGTCTATGTATTTAATTATAACTGTAAAAACCCATTTTTTGGTATTGACCTTTGATTTTAATATTTGATTCGCATTCATACAAATTTTATTTTCCATGTACATATCTGTGTGCGTGAAACAGTTGCATGCACTTGGCTTGGTTTCCAGTGATGTTCCATGTTGACTGTTCTCCTAGATTTACAATTGCCTCTAACTTAAGGTAATCTATAGGCTTTACATGATAACAAAGACGTTTGACAATATTTATCTCTGAGACTCTCTCATATTAAATCTGCAGGGGAAACTGTAGTAGGAGTTGATTAAACAAAACGTGTACCCTCTTTCATAAATTTTGTTATTAAAGACTAAGTTTCATATAGTCTTGAATAAATGATAAAAAATTCTTAAGCAATTCCATAATAGCAGGAGCACAACTTAAACATATGTCCCATCTTCCTGTGAAGTTTCAGGGATGAAAATTGTAGGAGGAGTTGATAACACAAATCAGGTATTCACTTTCAGCCTGGCATCACCATCATTCTCATCACTTTTCGTCCATTGTGTTGTCCGTTTATAACGTTTACAAAAAAACAATGTCCTCTGAAACTTCTGGGCCAATTGGAACAAAAATTGGCCACAATAATTTTTTGAGTACCTATAGTTTAAAAAAATTGTGTCAGGCCGACGACCCCGCCTTCTAACTAACATGACTGAAAATAGAATATACGGATAAAATGCAAATTTTGTCTATTATCTTGAAAACCACTATAGATAGAGAAAGTCATAATAATTAGGGAGGAACTTTAACAAGCTAAAAAAAATAGCAAATAAGTCAAATTCGTTAGACGACTCCTCATT